AGGATCCTCCAATCATCCACCACTCTTGTCCTCACTAGTGTGTTCTTTTTTTCTCAGAATGTACTAAACTGTTGATTTAGCCACTCCTAATGTTCCTGCTGTCTCTCTGATGGATTTGTTTGGTTTTTGAAGCCTAACATTTGTCTGTTTCACTTGTATGGAGTGGTCCTTTGACTGCATGATGTTGGTACACAGCAACAGCTTCCAAATGCAAATGGCACACTTAGAATCAGCTCCAGAACTTTTACCTGCTTAACTGATTTAGAAATAACGAAATAATAGCCCACACCTGTCTATGAAACAGCTTTTGAGTCAATTGACCAATTGTCCACTGTGCTGTAAAAGACTGATCTGTAGTTATCAGAAAGGTTTGTTTGCAGTTCTTGCTGCTAAAGTTGGTACAAAGAGATTTTATGTTTAAAGGGGCAATTCGTTTTTCACATTGGTGATAGGAGTTGGATAACTTATTTTTTTTTAGATATACACAATATATAAAACAAAACTCTGTGTTGAAGAATTGCAATAAACATGTTTTTTTCATTAGTGCATTTGTGCATCTACAGTTTACTATGTTTTATAATCATTAGAGAACAAACCTATAGATTTGATGTTAATATTTACTTTTAATAAACGCATTGCTAGAAAAATTGCAGTGCTTCATTTTGCAGTAAAGTTGAACTGTTTGGTTAAGATCATTTTGTGTTTGGTTGCTGTGCTAATTGTTTTGAGAACAAGTACATTGCATTGGAGAAAAATGTCAAATCGATTGAGAAAAAACTGTAAGAAAACAGCGACCCCTGCAGAATGGTTTGTTCCATTACAAAAAATAAATAAATAAACGCAGAATCTCCCCACTGCAATTTCCAAAATTTGAAGTCATTATCACAAGAGTGTTTCTTAAAATAAAATAATTTCAGCCTCCCTGTGTTTAACCTGGGTTACACATAACACACGAACACATTTCTAATATTCAAATATGTTAAAGGATTTTTAGGCTGCATTAATTAGGGCAACCGGAACCGGGAACACTTCCCATAACACCCGATGTACTTGCTACATCGTTAGAAGAATGGCATCTACGCTAATATTAGTCTGTTTCTGTCTTATTCCGAGGTCACCGTAGCCACCAGATCCAGTCTGTATCCAGATCAGATGGTCACTGCAGTCACCCGGATCCAGTACGTCTCCAGCCCAGATGGTGGATCAGGACCTAGAGATGACCTCGACAGCCATGAATGTCAGCGGAGACCAGGACAACTAGATGAGCCCCAGAGACAAATCCCCAGTAAAGACCTTGTCTTATTCTGCTGGATCTGTCTGCTGCTTTTGACACTGTCAATCATCAGATCCTCCTGTCTGCCCTCTCTTCACTGGGCATCACAGGGATCCCACTTCGCTGGTTTGAATCATATCTCACTGGTAGGTCTTTCAGTGTGGCCTGGGGAGGGGCGGTATCCAAAGCACATCAACTGGTCACTGGGGTTCCTCAGGGATCAGTTCTTGGACCCCTCCTCTTCTCCATATACACGACATCACTGGGTCCCATCATACAGGCACATGGCTTCTCCTACCATTGCTATGCTGATGACACACAGCTCTATCTTTCATTTCAACCAGATGATCCAACGGTAGCTGCACGGATCTCAGGCTGCCTGGCGGACATCTCGGCATGGATGAACGAATATCACCTACAGCTCAACCTGGCAAAGACTGAGCTTCTTGTCTTCCCTGCCACTCCAACTCTACAGTATGATTTCTCCATCCAGCTAGGTTCTTCTACAATTACCCCATCAACTTCGGTCAGAAATCTTGGTGTAA